GAGGTGGATGCAAAACATTCAGGTTTTTATGCACCTTCAACAGAGTTGGAGCAAATCAGAGCTACTCCCCCAGCCCCCAGAGCGAAATCAGTGCCAGAATCATGTTGTTCAGCAACCAAGTTGGGACCGTCTGTAACTCATTCCCAAATCCTCAGTCTCACTCAGGAGCATTTTCTCCAGTGATAAGGCTTCATCAGGAAACACAGCTGGATGGAGGAAGGAAATTCTGAGAAGCAAAAAAAAAAAAAATAGTGGGGGTTCCAGGAAGTTCAACCAGATAGGAACTAATGGAATTTGTTTTTCTGTATCCCCAGCTCCCAGTGTTCCTGAGCGAGTGAGAAAATCAGAGGGAAAGTGGGGGGCAAAAAATAGTGTGGTAAGATCCTACCCTGCAAAACAGGTCCTCTCTGCAGGTCTCCAGAGAGCATCATAATTACAATTCAATATTTTCAATCACTTGCTGCTCTCCCTGGGAAAAACTGCAGATGTTTTCAATTTAGGTCCACTCTGAAGCCCAGCCATTGTTTTCTTCCCCTCTCGTTTTTTTGACTTGTATTTTTTTTTTTAAACAAAGGTCCCTGTATAGTTTATTAAGGAGGTTTGAGTTGGGCACATGATTTATCAAAAATAATTAAAAAAAAGACTGCTGTGTTTGACATTCAGAATTAAGGGTTGCAAGTGCCTCTGATTAGTAACACATATCCCAGAACCATCAAAACAACAGCTTCAACTTGTGTCTTGGTTTTATCACTTCTAGAGAAACTCCTTTTGACCCTCAGGGGCAAACAGCATTTCCTTCCATATCCTTTGCAATTCCACTCTTTTGCAATCTTTACAATCCTCCAGCCAACTCCCTCTTCCTTTGATAAGGTAGATAATCCAAGTTTCAACATTCCTCACTTACTGCAGCAGTGCTGGTGTGAAACAAGAGAAAGGATCCATCACCCAGATCACTCCTTGGCCACTGAGTGAAAAACTGAGTCCGAGATCAGCTCTACAGTTAAGGCAGCTCAGATTAAGCTCATACAAAACACCTCCTGCCAAAGGCTACTCCACAGGTCAAGATCATAAAATCACTGCTAATGACCACACTGGAAAAGCCTGGGCAGGGCTAATGTGGCTTTGTGACACATCTGATGTGCTGGGACACTTTATCACAGCACCAGTTCAGAGGTGATTATTTTTGACAAGCACTTCAGAAGAGCCAGATTATCTTGCTTGTCCAGAGACCGTGTCACTGAGCCTTGAGTCCTTCCACTAATTTCCCTTTGACCACAGATGGAATTCCCTGGGTTTTGCTTTTTTCCTCCTTTTTCCTAATCTTCAAGTCTGGTATGATCCAATCAACCAGCCAGACTTAGGACGACACTGGATACCGGGAACAATTTCTTCATAGAAAGGGTTGTCAAGCACTGTCACAGGCTGCTCAGGGAAGTACTGGAGTCACCATCCCTGGAAGTGTTCACAAAAGTGTGTATATGGACATGGTTTAGTGATGAACATGGTGGTGGTGCTGGCTGACATTTGGATTTCATGATCTTAAAGGCCTTTTCCAACCTTATGATCTTCTGCTCCTTAAGGGATCTCTTCCATCTATCCACTGAATTTTGTCACAGGCTTAAACTGGAGGCTTTAAGGAAGGCTGAGAATCAAAACTCAGCTGGACAAGCTCCTGAATATCTTGCCAGAGCTGACCCTGCTTTGAGCAGAGTGACTGACCCAGAAACCTTCAGGACTCTTCCAATCTCAGCAATTCTGTCACTGTGAAAAGCAGTTCCTGCATCTTTCCAAGAAGTTACACCCAAGATTGTTCTGATCCTGGATTGAAACAACTAGAAATATGGGAAAAAGAATTATGCTGAATGTCTTTGTCAAAAGATCAAAAGTGGAATGACAACTGTTGTGAGCTGAGGATTGGTCATTCAGTCCAAATCAAATCTGTGCTGGAGGCTTCTCAAAGTGCACCTCTGAACAAAGAGGAGGGATCTGATACCTTGGAAAGAGCCTTAAAGACAGGACTTCAAGCTATAGAATCATGGAATGGTTTGGGATGGAAGGGACCTTAAAGGCCATCCAGTTCCACCCCCTGCCATGAGTAGGGACACCTTCCACTAGCCCAGGTTGCTCCAAGCCCCGTCCAACCTGGCCTTGGACACTTCCAGGGATGGGGCAGCCACAGCTTCTCTGGGCAACCTGGGCCAGGGTCTCACCACCCTCCCAGCCAACAATTCCTTCCCAATATCCCATCTCACCCTGCCCTCTGTCAGTGGGAAGTCATTCCCCCTTGTCCTGTCACTCCAGGCCCTTGCAAATTGTCTCTCCTCATCTTTCCTGTAGGCCCTACCCAGGGCTCTGCTGGACACCAGGACTCTTCCTACATTATCTACACACAGAACAGGTAGGAACAACTCACTTCCAGGAGAATGACAGCACTTTCCTGCTCCTGTAGTGAGCTCTCTGCCACACCAGCGGAGCTCAAGGATTTCAAACCAGAAAGCAAACAGAGAACTCCTGCAAATCCTCACAGTTCCATTTGTGCCACCTTAAGGACCAGGCTCTGGAACATGATGGAAAGGGATCATGAGAGTTCATGGGTGCAGTGAAATGAAATTGCTCAGAGCTGGAGGGCCTGAGCAGTGCATTTTTTGTTGTGTGCAAACTCCACAGATCTCTGACCCATGAAGAAAAGGAGAAGGGAAGGCTGGGGGAAGCAATTGTGCTGCCTCTGGCTCTCCCTCCCTGTGGCTGCTCAGCAGCAGACAGTAGCCAGAGGATGACAATGCAGCTCCAAATGACATTATCTCCTGCCTGGATTTGCATGTGGAAATCTGGGTGCTTAAGAGGGAACAGCCTGTGACTTTTTTTGTCAGAAGCTTGAACCCTTTCAGCGAGGGGAAAAAGGAAATCTGCACAGGAGCTACCAGCCAATGGGATTAGCAAAAACATGCACAGAGTTATACACCCTTCATAAGCAGCCTCAAATCCATGTGATATGCAGTGTCTATCCACGAAAAAGCAAGTGTTCTCCAGGATAAAGCCCCAGAAGAAGCACTTTCCAAACCTGAGTTTCAACAGATATGGAACATACGGAGAAAACAAGACCAGTTACTTGGGATAACTCATGGGTGGGCAAAACCTACTCCCTTAACCACAGCACTGCTGAGTTGCTTTGAATCCCAGACTGTCCTGCTTCCTCTTGCTCTGACAGCAAGGGAGCCAAGCAGCAGACCCATGGCATATTTAGGGGATCAGAAGTGTTAACCAACAGGGCTCCAGGGGAAAAAGAAAATGGAAGAGAATCCAAACATGGATCCATCTGGAGCTGGGCCAGCCCAGGGTGAGGTGGGGAGCACAGCAGAGCATCCTGTGCCCCAAGAGCCCGCTCAGGAAACACTTGAGCACCAAGTGACAAGCAGGCCTGAGACCTCCTGCAAACCAGAGGAGGATTCTTGTGTGTGTGAATCAACTGCCTTAACCACAGCCCTGTGGAGCTGCTTCAAATCCCAGGATGCCCTGCTTCATCTTGCTCTGACAGCAAGGGAGCCAAGCAGTGGATCCACGGCATATTCAGAAGTGTTAACCAACAGGGCTCCCCTGGGTGCAAGTTCACCCACAGCATTTGAGAGCTCCAACAGGGAGCTTCAGGGATTTGAAGTCCCCAAATTCTTATTTCAAGACAGTAATAAGCTAAGATGGGTTCTGTGGTGGCTGATGGCCTGGTCCCAAGCTCTTACCTTTCAAAACCATGTGACTTGTAACAAAGGTTCCCACTGTTTTCTGCAGTGGCAGACAAGACAGGGCAGTTCTCAGTTTGTTTAACTTTCTTCCAGCCTCCTGGTTTAATTAGCTGTCAGTGTATTTTACAGAGAACTCAGGAACAGACTTGACATCTTTCTCTGTCACCAATAAACTTACCAACCACTTCAAAATCTACAGCAGATTCACTGGAAATATAACACTATATGTGATAATGGCACAAATCCTTCAAACTGTTCAAGTGAAGATACACCACTGAAGTATTCTTTATTTTACAGAGGTTTTTCCAGGGAAGAATCCCCAGTGGATCACTATTCCTTCTTCACCAGTTCCCCTGTCATTCTACAGGAAAAAACCTTGTATTATTTCCACTACTATCCCGGATCTCTCAGCACATTCTCCCCTTATTCCTCTCCTCCCAAAGCTCCCAGAGGCCTGATGTGAAGTTCCAGAACAATTTCCAAGAGTACTGCATGAGAAGCAAGGTGCCAAACACATACAGCATATTCCAGAAACTTCCACTTAATTTCAAGCCCCTTCTTTCCCTCTAAACAAGAGATTTCAGACAACTCGGAACCAATTCTTGCAACATATTCATTTGTGCTTTTCCAGGTGTTATTTTTTCCACAGGATTTTTCTGGATTTTTCATGTTACAGTGTCTGTTATTTTATACACTGATACAGCAGGTCTGTTCTCTGCAAGTGCAAAATGCTAATGAACACATAAATAAAATAAAAGCCAGTCAAAACCTTGCTCTCATTACACAAAGTCAGGGGAAAGGTCTTGTCATTAAATATTTATCAGTGTTCAAGCCACCTTTGAATCCTTTGCAGCTGCTCAGCCTTTCCCAATTTTTGTGAGAATAAGGGCAGTGTGTTGAGATTGCCCAGTTGCTACTGAATATCCAATTTTATTTTGGATATTTATGGATCTTTCATGGAATCATTTAGGTTGGAAAAGACCTCTTAGATCATCAAGTCCAACCTTTGACCTTTCAGATGAAGCAAAATTCTCCTTGGTGATGTGCATTTCCTAACAACTGTAAAATTAAAATACTGGAGTTTCCTAACTCCAAAGAAGTTACATCACAATAATTCACAAAATATGGATTAAATTCACTCATTTCCTCACAGTTCAAGCACAGCCTTTCTAGTAGAAACAACACATTAGCAGCAAAACATTTGAATACTGTTTTGTTATGAGGAATAATAAGCAAGGAAACAAGAGAAAGCTTCTTCTTTACCTGTATCTTCCCACTCTTCTGTCTCCTCCCAAATATGCAGGACAGATCATGTTCACTGCAGGATGAGAGGTCCTTACCTGGAAGGGGTAAAGAGAGGAAAAAAATCCCAAACCTTCTAATCTGGTGATGACAGGGACATTTTGGTAACACAAACTGACCCACAGAGAGAGAGGAATTGCTTTTGGAGGTGAATGACAATCAGGAGGTGAATAAAAATCAGGAACTCCAGGCTGGATAGGGCTTGGAGCAACCTGGGATAGTGGAAGGTGTCCCTGCCCATGGTAGGGGGTTGGAACTAATGATCATTAAGGTCCTTCCAACCCAAATCATTCTGTGATCCTGTGATGAAGGTACTCATGAGGAAATATGTGTAAATGTAGAATCTTTGGATTCTCAGGAGGATTTCCTGTCTCTGACAGAACTAGGGAGTTGTAGGTCCTCCATACAATGAAAAAAAAATCCATCTTTACTCCACAGGGACTTTCCTTTGATTCCTAATGTTGCTTCTGAAAAGTAAAACCTCCATCTCTGCAACACACTGGATTATTCCAACTCAAAACAATTTCAAGGGTGAAGCAAAGGTTCTCAGCAGGACCATTATTCCCATCTGGTTGTTGTGTGGCTAACTGGACATCAGACAAGGAGCAGGGAGGGGGAAGCAGAAGGGTGTGATGTGATATTCAGAGTTTCAAGCAAAAGTTTTGCCAATTCCACAGTGCAGGAACCTTTATATTGGGTTGTCCACAGCTTCTCTCAGAAAATCCTTTTAAAAAAGCTCAGTAAAAGTTAAAGATTTAAACAAAATTAGTCCAGACAGTTCAACTAATTAGGAGTCTGCTGGGGTCTTAATCACTTGATTTTCCGATTCCAAAATCAGTGACCTCAAAATGAATTTTGTAGTGGACCAAAAAACCCAAACAAACCCAAAATCTGACTATTTAACCTGTTTCTTTTCCTCGGGATCCTGAACTGCCCACAGAGGGCAAACACACCCATCAGCCTAGAGGAGAAAGTGTGACCCAGCTTCCTGGTGCCTCACTGCACAGCCTCTAAATGTCATTGCCCAAGCAAGCTGGATGAGACTGGTGGTTGTTTTCAGCTTTATCTTGGCCAAGGCTTGGAAAATGACACCTAAAATCCTCCTGCTCCTCCTCTTACCCTAAACTGTCTGCCCGTGCCTTCCCCTGCTCCTCTCTCTCTAATAGAAAACCAACTCAGCTGACATTCATAACCTCCAGCAGCATCCCAGTGGAACAGCTGCTAGAAAAGCAGCTGCAGTCAGTGTTTTAATCTCAGATTGGTGTGTATTCCCAGATCCAAGGGTTGTGCATGTTCCCTGTGTCTCTCCAGCCCCGCAAACGGAAGCTGCATTTTGTGCCGTCGCTGTTCCCTTCTCCAGCTTTTGTGTGAGCTTGTCTTGTTTAGTCTGAAAGGAAGCAGGATCAGGCTTGAACAACAAGGGCCACAACAACACCAGCCCTTCTCAAATAACTTTTCCTCTTTCCCTGAAAAAGGACAATTTCCCTGGTTTAGACCACAGAGGGTGCAAGCAAACAAGGGGCCGCCTTGTGGAAACATGACCAAACAAATAAGGGATACTGTGAATATGAAAGCCTTGATCTGTATTTTACATGCTCAAAAGACACTTCTTTTTTCCTCTATATTTAGCAAAAGGTTAAATCCAAATCAAAATAAATCCTCTTTGCCACTCCCTCAAACAGGCCACGGCCTCTGCACTTGCAAGCCCTGAACCAATTTAATTGTTTAATGTCATAAAGTGGCAGGGTCGAGTTAACAGGTTTGACTTCAAGGCCAATTTATTTAATCAAAAATCCCAAACCCCAATATAAAAAATTTGGCCTCCATTCAGACATCAATTAGCTCTGTTTTAGCAGAGGCATTTGCTGTCCGAAAACATTGCACAGAGTTTTCAGTTTAATAAATCAGCCATTAGTGGAACTGATCCTATCCATACCCTGAAACAGGTACACACACCATGTGCACGTGGGTGTGTGAAAGGGGAGCAGAGGAACAGAGAAAGGATTCCAGAATTGTCAGGAGCCAAACCCAGGCATGACTGAAATAATGTAATTGCTCTAAGGAAGAAAGAAATTACTAAACTCCCTGAGTTTTTGATAGTTTTTCTGGCCACCAACCACTGTCCTAATTTATCCCATAAAGTATCTGGTGGACGTAAGAGGGCTTTCCTGCCTTCCTTCAGGTTTAATCTGATCCCTGATCCCATCCTCATGATCTCTGAGCAGGGTTACTGGAGATCTCAGGGGATAGTGCCACGCAGATCCTAAGTCATAAGTCACTCCATCATCATCTTTCCCCCCTCCCATCCCCTGCTCACACACCCACAACTTGGAATATTCGCTGTTCCTTCATCCAGCTGGTGGCTCCTTCAGGTAGGAACTGTTTTATTCAACTAATCAGCCTAAAGCCATCCAAAATTACCCAAAATAAAGAGAGACAGCACATTATAGCTCTAAGCAAGTTGCTACAGGGGGTATTCCTAAACCAAGATTTAACTTGCCAAATATAGACTTCAGAAGGCAACAGATCACCCTGAAAGGGTTTGTTCTAAGCTTGGCCAGAGCTTATGAAACAACAAAACCCCTCTTACCTTTGGCAAACTTCATATAATGGACACGTTTCTTGGAAGATTTGGATTTTTCTTCTAGGCTGAATGTCTTTTTCTGATTTTTCGCTGAGGGCTCTAAAAAACAAATCCAAGGAAACAGGTTCCAACTCTGTTAGAGGCACTTCAACCACCACATTCAAACAACAGTGTATTTAACCTTCTCTCTCAAAACCCAGTCTCAACAAAATATCACAATATATTACTGAAGGAAGCATGGCAAGTTTTGTCTGAGACATGTCACTGCTTGATTTTTTTTGCCATATCCCTTTCCCTTCCCCTTTCCAATCCAATGTAGTTCAAAAAGGCAGATACAGGCACTCCAGGTCTAAGGCAGATCCATCTCTGTGGTAAGAAAAGAGTAAAAGGTCAGGGTTTATTGTGCTGTTTGTTACAAAATATCCCCAGTGCCGAAGTCTGAGAAAGATGTAAGAAATAGTGCAAAATAAAATACTTAACCTGCCTGGGTGGAAAAAGGGGGGAAAAAATGACAGGATTTCCACTTCCAACCCTACACAAAGTACCTTTATTTGGACATAAGCTGATCCATCTGTGTAAGGAAACTGAATGGTGGCAAAGCTTTTCTGTCCCTCAGGCCAGCTAGAACAAACTGCCACATCCATATTATTTCATTTTCCTAGTTTCCAGGAGAGGGATTGCATCTAAACTGTCCACTGGGAATGGCCTCTGGGCTTGGCTGAGTTCCAAATTCACTCAGAAGTTTGGGAGATTGGCAGCAGCTTAAAGCCACATGAAGGATTAGTCCCATTATTTAACAGTAGAGACATCACGTTCCTGGGCTGTGGCAGGTTATTTTAGGGGTACAAACCTTCTCTTTGCACCCACAGAGCCTGTTAATTCCCCCCCCCCCCCCGAAAAATCTCCGAAGGAGTGAATCAACCTGCTGTACAGTTAATAAGTACTTTATTAGTTTTGTGCTGAAAATAGTCACCACAGGATTCTCTGCTCTGTAACTCCATGAAAAGGTTACTCTGATGAGATGTTTTTTTCCTCCCAGTGGCAACTGGGAATGGGTAAGGAAATGAACCCATACCCTGAGGGCTAAGTTGAGTCATCTTTTTTACATGATCCCACCCTGGAAAGCTTTGCAGCCCAAGCTTTTCTGACGCTGGAATTCCAGCACTTCCCTGTTTGTTAGGTAGTGCCACCTGATGATGGAATCACTGACCTAAACCTGAAATCCTCAGCCTGCAGTGGGAGAGCTGAGTGCCAAAAAGCTGAGATCCACTCTCCCACTTCCACACTAAGCCCTAACGGAAAGAGAGGACCAGCAAACCCAGTTTTTAACAGAAATTCCCCAATAAAAACGTTCTGTGGGGAAAACAAGCATCACAACTTAAATATCCTGACCAGAGACACAACACTTCAAGCCTGTTCTCCGAGCTACTTGTACCAAAAGGAGCATTACACAGCAAAGGGTTCCCACAGCGCTTCCTTTTCCACATTATTCTTCCAGGGAAAGGCGCAGCAGCACCGCCTTGTGCCTGCAGGGAGGAATTTCACTCCCGAAACGTGCTGGCACTTGCAATGGGCTGGGAGGTGCATCCCTGTGTCTTCCAGGGACTGGAAAAAAAAAATCCTCTGACAAACTGAGTGAGCACTGCAGGAATATTAATGTGCTTTTTAAAGCCATTTAGTCCGAGCAAGAAAGTAACATGTTATTTCTATAGATGGATATTCCAAGGCAAGTCACAGACACAGCCAGGATGCTGTTTCTGCATCTTAAGAATGGGAAGGGCACACAGATTTCATCACTGAGTATCCCAGCAAAAGAGCCAGGAATCATGGGATGGTTTGTGTGGGAAAGACTGTGTAGTTCCAACCCTGTTCCACTATCCCATGTTGCTCCATGCCCCGTCCAACCTGGCCTTGAACACTTCCAGGGAACAGGGCAGCCACAGCTTCTCTGGGCAACCTGTGCCAGGGCCTCCCCACCCTCACAACAAATAATTTCTCCCTAACATCTAATCTAATTAAACCTGCCCTCACTGGGTGCTCACCTAGAAAAAAGGAAAAGAAAGGTAAAACTACACTGAGGGTATTTGAATGTTGGCAAATCAACCCCCACAGGGCCTTTCCCTTCCGACCTCTAATTGCAACCCAGCTCTGGCAACTCCAGCAGCTCTTTAAGAACAATGAAGTTTTTCAGCTGACTTTTAATGCAGTTTGAAACTGGCTGATGGCCAATAATGTAACATTTGATCCTGCAGCACAGCTGCAGGCAGAGTTTGCTGGATGAGTTTTGCCAGCTTAAGCAAACTGCCAAAAAAACAAGTTTTAGAGCTTTGTGCTTTCTGTAAATCACCCAAGGGGATTGTGACCAGGAATTTTCAATGTGTACCCAAATTTGTTCTTAGTGATTGAAAACTTAAAACAACTGAGAAAAGCAGGAAGAAATACAGCTTTCATGGAGCATTTTGCATCAGTGACCCAGGGAACAGCTTTAGGAACAAGACAGCCTTGCTCAATGAACCTGCCTCTGTGCTGACTCACTGTGTCCCTGGGCAAGTCACTTCAACTCTCTGCCCAGCACTTTGCAGGTTTTCCCACCAGCTACACCTTCCTCATCTTCCCATGGCTCAAGTTGGAACTTGGGTAGGATTTAGTTACAAAGGCAGAAAGGAACTTTTGGAATTTCCCTGTGATATGCTCTTCTACCTCTCGAGGACTTGAAGGACAGCACCAAGTGCTGTGTGGCCTCAGACCATGATCAGGGCTCCAGGGCACAAGGAGAACTTACACAGCAGTTTAAAGAAGGTGTTTTTAAATATCAGGTTCAAAATTTTAATCCCAGTTGTCTAGGATTAGAAAACCTTGCTAACTGATTTTCCTCCTCACTTTTCTGCATTTCCTCTCCTAGAAAACCTTCAGTGTTCAAAGGTTAAGAATAAATGAATGAAGAGTTGCTAAATTCACTAAGCTCCAGAGAGTTGTTTAGATGTATGATCTGACTTAAACCTGAGTCTAACTAAAGGAGAGGTGACAAACCATTGGATAAACCCGTTCTTTCTGTAAGCTCACACCCACAACTTCATTTTTACAAACCAAGGTCAAGCTGTACGAAGCTTTTCAAAAATAAAAAGACTTTATAAATAGCCCTTTTGGGAAAGTTGTGGTTTCTCCACTTGTGTGCTCAAAAATCACATTATAGCACACTCAAAGCAGAGATGCATAACTGAGTCAAAAGCTATGGAGCAACTCTCCAAGGACAGGAAAAGGAGGTATTTAAGAAACCAGTGGAACATGGAAGCCAGGAGTGACAATTCATATTAAAAGGAAGACAAAACGTTGCAACTGTGAGTGATTGTTGTGAGCCTTCAGACAGACTCTGGATAAAGAAACAAGTGTTGCTGTAGCGCAGCCCAGGAAAAGGTCCCAAATATTGTGATCCTGGATAAAATAAAGAAGTTCAACATTTTATGTTTTCTTTCCTCAACAAAAGGCCTTTATTTGAGTCCTGAGAGCAAAACTGATCCACTGAGATATCTACATATCCAGGCAGAGAAACTTCAGCATGGTCATGGACAGCAACACATCCTTTGGCTCCCACTGATTTTGAGGGAGGAGTTGTCAACCTCAGCAAGGAGCCCAAATTGGGCCTCAGCTCATCTTTTAAGACGCAGAATGGAAACTCTGCTAAGCTTCCAGCATCTGATTGAGCAAAGCATGAACCTACCTGTTTCACCCTGTCCATGGCAACTATTCAGTTCAGCCAGGAGCTGGTTGAAGTCATCCTGATGAGCAATCCAGTTGTCCTGTAAACATCGCTCATATGAATACGAGGCAAAAGTCTTCAGAACTAACACAAATTCTGCTAAAACAGATATTAAGTAATAACTTAATTGGGTATATTCAATCCTTCTTGGTGGGAGGGACCCTGGGAAGCTCCACAGGGGGATAACACCACCAACAGCTCACACAGTCACTCCAAAGTGAGATAAAATTATAAGGGTTGTGTTTGTAAGTCATAAACAATCCTGTTCGGAACATTCTACCACTAGATGTGACAAGAGATTTCATTAATATTCTATTTAAAAATTTGTGTTTTAGCTGAAACGGGAGCCATTCCCTCACCTGGGTCTAGTTCTCACCTCGTTGTTGATGTTTGCTCCTAATCCCAGCATGTTGTTTTTCACCTTCACCCTGATGTGTTCTGGATTTCCTTGTTCCTGAGCCCCAAGACCCTAAGGAGGATTTAAAGGTAAAAAGTAAGGATTTTACAGCAGTGACTGAGCAATCAGAGCTTTTATACTTTAAGACTTTGCAATGAAATACAACAAGAAATCACAACTTACTATTTGTTTTCCTGCCTGAACTGAATTCATTCACAGGCTTTAGCACACATGAGATATTCAGTTTTTAAAATTTACTACCTAAGCCTCCAGCAAAGTATTAAAAACACTAAAATAGCAACAACATTAAGCAGTTGGGTGATTAATCAGGAAGTCACCTGACATTCCTAAGCAAGCCCAGAGTGTTTACAGTTTTAAACCAAGACACTACATATACAGAAGAGGCCTCTCCCCCAAAATACCTCTGTCACTGGGAAGGCAGATCCACATGGAAAGTATAAACCAGAACAAGTTTATAAGGGAGGGAAACAGAGGAGGGGCAGGGGAGAATCAGGACATTAACAACTTTTTCTACCTCATTCACACTCATAATTTGATTGGAAATATTGGAGCAAACAACTATGGGAATTCTCTATCCTAAACCCCACAGTCATTCAAATCTGGAAAGCAATTCTCAGGTCCAGTGTTATCTTTCTTAACTGTATGATCAGGGTTAAAAAATAAAAGACAAAGCATTTGGTTTACAACTTTATTCCTGGTATTCACCTACTTTTTGCCTAATTTGTCACCAGTAACAAATCACCAGCCAAGTGTGTTGGCTTTAATGAACATGGATGTGGTGCAGCAATGGGGAAAAGCCCTGTGGAGAGATCCTGGGATATCTAATATTTGAAAGAATGAGGCATATTGAAAAAAAGGCTGTTGCTATTACAAACCCACTTGAGTTCATTTGGTCCCTGGGGTGGAAAATTTGCCTTGAAACTCCTGATAACCAAAAAAAAGTGTGGAAGCAAACAGGCCACTCAGCCACACATCCTGCCCTGACCCAATTCCAACACAACTGATGACAGGACTAGTGTAAGCAGCTTAATTGCACTGCAGAGATGGGCTTTTGCCCATCAATTTGGTCGAGATGAGGTTCCATTTGTTTGAGTTTGTAGTGGAATGGAGAGAGAAATCCCTCTTGCACAGCTGTAACCGTTGGAAAGGAAGATCCAGCAGCTCAAGTGGGAAACTTGTTGTGAGGCAACTGAAGCAACAGCAGCTACACTGAGAAAAGCGAGAACAGGCTTTAAAGCATTCACAGAATGGAGAATGATCCTAATTTTATTTCTGTTAAAGAAAGTTTGGGTGAGAAAATATAGGAGGAGAATTAAATAAAGGCAGTGGGGGTTTTGTGTGCATTCTTAGCACTAAACACGCTGATGTGCAGGCCCAAATCTCTGCTTTGCTGAGGCATCTCTGTGGAATTAAAAGTGGTTTTAAGGGGCAGCTGAGCAGTTTGCAGGATAACCCAGTGGTTATTCTTAGTGCCAGAAACCAGTGCCCTCACCCACAGGTACTGGCTGGAGCTGGGAAGGGATTCAGCTCCCAGAATGCTGCATTTTGGGGGTTCAAGGAACAGATCAGAACACTTAAAAAACAGGTGAAAGACTAAAGCAGGTCTTGGAGTTGCTTTAAATAAAAAGTAGGGAGAAAACTGAGAGTATAAAAGCAACTTAAAGACTTTAACCATCACCTAATTTAATGTGCCAACTCTTGCTCCTATTTGGGGACATTAACTTGCCAAAGAAGGGAGAAAAACTGGAAAGCAGGACAGTCAAAAACAGGCCTTTGCAACAAAGCGTAGAAATCCAACATTGCTCAAATTCTCTGTGCGCTTAAGAGAATAAATCAGAGCTCCCTGGCAGTTTTAGACCCTTGAGATACAGAACTCTCTTTTGGATCCTACCTTTCCTTTGGACCAGCCCATCTTTTCCAGCATCTTCTGGCCAAATTTAGAGTCATCTTTACTCCAAGCGCTGTTTCGTGGATCCACAGACCATTTCTGCTTCCTCCGGGCTGGGACAGGGAGGAAAAATTCAAATAGGCTCTACTGACATTTCCACAGTATTGAATCAGTTCAACTACAGCTCTTCATTGCCAAAAAAACCCCCAGAACTTACGTCAGGCCGAATATATTTGGGAGGTTAATTTTACTCAACAGAAAACCCAATAATAACAAAAAAAGGGCGGTGAAAATATTAATTATTAATGTGAAGAATGCCAAAGTAAAATTGATATCATAGAACCACAGAATGGTTTGGGTTGGAAGGGGACCTTGAAGATCACTAGTTCCAAACATCAAAGTTGGAAGCTGTTGTCCCTAGGGATAAGCTGCAATTCAGGGAAGGCTTCAAGGATTACCATGTAAGGGTACAGGTCTAAAATCCACATTTACTCCAATTTTCGAAATCTACAGGGGAGGTGATTACAGTGCTGCTTTCCCAGTTCTGGACAAAATCCATTATCCAGTCTTCCTTTTAAGCACAACACAGAAGTTTTAATACTTGCCTTCACAAAAAAAAAAACAAATCAAAAATGAAATACAAATGCCCAGAGATGACAGAACACAAACCAGTGGGATTTCAGCTTCTGGATTTGCCAAAAATGGTTTACTAAGGAAACTTATTGGGAAATTTATTGGGAAAAGCCACCAGAAATTATTGCAGGAGTTAAGAGATCCAAAGGAGAGTCAAAGCTCCTTTGTCCTATGCAGATTCCTAAAGAAACTCCAGTCCCTCAGGCCCACGTGCGTGTTCTTGCCTCTCCCACCAGGAATGGCTTCCTGGAAATCAAGGAGGAAAAGCCAGCTCAGTTAACAAGGCACTTCAAGTGTGCACCTAAGCACAGGCAGGAAGAGAACCTAAATAAACAAGACAAACAAAGGATGGGAGACAGGAAGATCACAAACTTCATTAACCACCATGGGAAACGAGGGATCAAAAATGACCCGTTCACCCAAGGCCACACAAAGTCAGGGAGAAGCCAAACTCACTGAGGTGTTTTCAACGTAATCAGGAAGTCATCATTCCCTAAAACACCAGATTTGGGATCTGGGCCAGAGGGACTGAATATTACGGGGATGTTTGACTCATTTTGTGCCCTGTTTAGTTTTGCTCTTAAAGAACCAGCACTGTCAGATGCACAGTGGGGGCTTTTTTTAACAAACTTCCGAAGCTTTGAAGCTCAAAAAGATCCATAAAAAGATTTTACAGCAGATTAAATCAACAAGAGCTGTGAGAGGAGTTGACAAGGCCTTTGCTTCGTTCACTTCTCCACAGGAAACAACTTATTAACCTTAAAGGCTGTGGCTGCCCCATCCCTGGAAGTGTTCAAGGCCAGGTTGGACAGGGCTTGGAGCAACCTGGGCTAGTGGAAGGTGTCCCTGCCCATGGCAGGGGGTGGAACTGGATGATCTTTAAGGTTCTTTCAACCCAAACCATTCTGGGATTCTATGATTATTCCCACCAGGCAGCCTTCAGAGCAGCATCTACTCCAAGCCCTGCCTGTGCTGCCAACAAAAGGCGGAGAAGCAACAAATGAAGCAACTCCACAGGCTCGGACCAGCCCTGGTGTGGCAGCAGGGTCAGGGCAGTGCCTGTCCCTGTGCTGGCACTGCTGGGGCACCTCCAGTGCTGGGGGCAGCTCTGGGCCCCTCAGACAAGAGAGACATTGAGGGGCTGGAGTGTGTGCAGGGAAGGGAACAGAGCTGGGGAAGGGGCTGGAGCAGCAGGAGAAGCTGAGGGAGCTGGAGGGGCTCAGCCTGGAGAAAAGGAGGCTCAGGGGGGACCTTCTGGCTCTGCAGCTCCCTGACAGGAGGGGGAAGCCGGGGGGGTGGGTCGGGCTCTGCTCCCAGGGAACAAGGGACAGGACAAGAGGAAACAGCCCCAAGTTGTGCCAGGGGAGGTTCAGATTGGATATTAGGGAAAAACGTCTGCATGGAAAGGGTTGTCCGGCCCTGACACAGCTGCCCAGGGCATTGGTGGAGTTCCCATCCCTGGAGGGATCTAAAAGCCATGTGGATGTGGGCCTTGGGGATGTGGGTCACTGGTGGCCTTGGCAGTGCTGGGGAATGGCTGAACTCGATGATCTTAGAGCTCTTTTCCAATCTTAATGACTCTGATTCCAGGATTCTACCAGAGGTCATGCTGCCCAGCTGAGCAGCTGCCCTCCTTTTCAATCATATTTCTTCATCTCTACCTCTAAAATCTCTCAATTAACATCAGCTTTCCCTCACTCAGCCACCAAAAACTATTCAATGCCTTTTTTTAATTTTAACAACATTTTAAGGATGGCCATATTCTTTTACACTCTCTGTTACCAGTTCCCTGGGTGGTGACTTTGCAGATCCCAACTCCTACAGCTGTTAAATCACTGCATCTTTCTAATTATTCATCTGCACAGTGAAGTGATCCATGACAACTGAATGGTTGAATTTAAATTACTGACATAAATATTTCTTAAGCTTGAAATTAAGAGACCTTCCCTTTCCCAGAACTTGCAATCCATTTCAAACTTCTTAACAACCACTGTGGGATTAATCCTCACATTTCTACAAGGTTGACATACTCTTATTTTTACATAGGATAAGATAAATGCAGGAAAAAACCCCAAACAAACTTGCTTATACCTTTAGAGAAGAATTTAAGGAAGTAGGAAACAGCTCCATGCCACCTACAGGAACCATAAAATCATCCTCCCTTTCCAAACAACAAAAACCACTGTTTAGTCAATAATTTATCAGAAATGTTTGTTCACCGATGTCTTAAGAGCAAGAAAGGAAACAAGGTACTAACTTTCAGCTAAAAGATTCAGCTCATAATTCAACACCAACCTTCTGGGCTGCTTGTAAAGTGATGCAACTCTGGGTGAGCAGCACCATCCAGTGGAGAAAACTGTCATTTCTTTATAGAACCACAGAATCATTTAGGCTGGAAAAACCCACTGAGATCATCGAATCCAACCATTCCCCAGCACTGTCAAGGCCACCCATGTCCCCAAGTGCCACATCCACATGGCTTTTAAATCCCTCCAGGGATGGGGACTCCACCCCTGCCCTGGGTTGCTGTGCCATGGCTGGACAACTCAACCTCTTCACTCAGATATCCTACAATTTGAAAAAGATCCATTATTAAACCCTTTTACCAAGACTAATTCTGGGCCTGGAGCATGTTTTTAACTATAATTTCTGAAAGTTCCCATCCAAACCCCTGCTGTGTGCCCATGGATGGTCGGGGCTCACAGGAAAGACAAGGCTCTGGAGACAGGCTGGGAGAGCTGAGGGTGTTCACCTGGAGAAGAGAAGGATCCAGGGAGACCTCAGAGCCCCTTCCAGAGCCTAAAGGGGCTCCAAGAGAGCTGGAGAGGGACTTGGGATAAGGGATGGAGAGACAGGACAACGGGAATGGCTTCCCACTGAGAGAGGGCAGGGTTAGATGGGATCTTGGGAAGGAGTTCTTCCCTATGAGGGTAGTGAGGCCCTGGCCCAGGTTGCCCAGAGAAGCTGTGGCTGCTCCATCTCTGAAGTGTCCAAGACCAGGCTGGACAGGGCTTGGAGCAACCTTGGGACAGTGGAAGGTGTCCCTGTCCATGGCAGGGGGTGGATTGAGATGAGCTTTAAATGTCCCTTTCACCCCACATTACTCTATGATTACTGACATGTGCAGTGTCCAAATAAAATAATGAACAAATCCTGAAAAAATGGCACCAAAGTTTACACCTAAAATAACCAGAAAATTGCATATGCAAATGCAGTTTTGTTTTCCTCACTTCACACCCCTATTTTCCACTGGAAACTATAATTTTTAACTCTTCATTATAGTCCCTATTTCCTGCAGTCAAGCAAACAAATTCACCAGACTCCGTGCTCTCATTTTAAGGGTGTTTTGACAGCAGTAAGTTTACTGAAAGCACCTAAGAATCTTAACAATACTCAGGGATGAGAATATTAGTCCTGTTACATAAAAATCCAGTTGAGTTGTGTTTTTACTCATATAGAGTTTTACATTTAACAGAAAAGACTACTTAGAATGCACCTTTAACTTGGCAGCAAACGTTTTTAGTTCCTACTCTGGCCAGCCCTGAGAGATTCTGTTTCCTGAACTTTAGAGAGAGAATTATCTTTATATTCCTTCTCTTTCTCTCTGTATCTGGGAGCTACCAGACAGGATATTCATCCAATATTTCCTTCACCCTAGGACCCCCTGAACGCCATTCCTGGCTTTTGCAGCCCCCTGACCTGCTGTTCTTCAACACGGGAGACCCTCTGAATCCTGTCCTGGCCATGCCAGGTCTCCCAGACTCCAGACTCTCCCTGACCCTGGAATGCCTGGACCCCCATTCCCGCATTTCCCAGATCCTAGACCCCCTGAACCCCATTCCCAGCCACTGTGGATCTCCCAGACCCCAGCCATCCATTTCCTTGATCCTGGGACCCCTACATCCTCATTCCTGCCTTTCCCAGACCCCACACCTCCTTTTTCCTTAAGACTGGGACCACCTGGACCCTCATTCCCGCCTTTCCCAAGCCCCAGATCCCCCATTTTTCAACACCAGGGACCCCCTAAGCCCCCTTCTCGTCCAGCTCGGGCTCTCCCCACCCCATGACCCTCCTTCCCCCAACACATGGACCTCCTGCACTCCCATTCCCGCCTTTCCCAGCCGCCAGACCCCCATTCTTCAACACCAAGGGCCCCCTGAACCCCCTTCCCACCCATCCCGGCTCTCCCAGACCCCAACCCTACACTTCCTTGATCCTAAGACCTCCTGGCCCCCCATTCCTGCCTTTCCCACCCTCCAGACCCCCCGTTCTTCAACACCGCGGACCCCCTGAGCCCCCTTCCCCACCATCCCGGATCTCTCCGCCCCATGACCCGCCTTTCCCCAACGCTGCGGACCCCGAGACCCCATTTCCCGGGCACAGGGCCTCCCCCCATCCCGCCTCTCCCAGCCCCTGCACCCCCTTCCCTTGACTCTGGGACCCCCCTGAACCCCCTTATCCGGCACCGCGACCCCTCCCCGCACCCCCCGGGGGGGACAGCGCGGCCCGGGCCCCTCAGCGAGGGCTGTGGGGAGGCTCTGGGGCCGCTCCCTGTCCCCACTGCCCGGACATTCCCGGGACATTCCCGCCGGGATCGCCACTCACGCTCCGCCAGCATCGCCATCTTGGGGGCCTTCGTCCCTCCACAGGGACCTTTCTCATCTCCGGCGCACAAAAAGGGCGTCTCATTAAAGAGTTTTAAAACAGGCGAGCGCAGCGGGCACCAAAATGAAAAGAAGAGGGTGTAAACTTGCTAAAATTTTAATAAATGCGTTAAAACACGGCTCAGTTGCGTGTCGGGTGTTCCCGCGGCCAGGGGGAAGGGATGAGGAGCGCTCGGTGTGTGGTTGAAAATATGGGACACGGACAGTCTGAATATTCCAGGGAATTTAGGGTGTGAATGTCCCTGAATTTCCCCAAATTTTCCTGTCGTTGGAGGAAATGGGAAAGGGGATACACACACACACCGAGGGTGCCCTGTGCAGCATCCTCTGCCCGCCCTGCTGTGATAAAGCTCAACTTGTCATCGCTGAGCTCCTTACAGTTGTCAAAGAGCAGCAACTTCACAAAGTCATGGAATGGTTTGGGTTGGAAGGGACATTAAAGATCACCCAGATCTGCCCCCTGCCATGGGCAGGGACACCTTCCACTATCCCAGGTCTCCAAGTCCCATCCAGCCTGGCCTTGGACACTTCCAGGGATGGGGCAGCCACAGCTTCTCTGGGAATTCCATCCCAGTCCCTCACAGGGAACAATTTCTCCCCAATATCCCATCTAACCCTGCCCTCTGGCAGTTTTAAGCTATTCCCCCTTTTCCTTTCATTCCAGGCTCTTGTAAAAAGTCCCTCTCCAAACTGAAGTATCCTCAGGCAAATTACATCTTTATTCTCATTTTCAAAGTGTTTTAAGATCCTGTTATGAACACAGATATTCCCTCCTACAATATCACCTCAGTGCTTCTTGTCTTACCCACCTCTGATGTGGAAAAAGAGGATTTTTCCTTTCTGCAACAAATTGTATTTGAAGACTGAACCAACCCCTCTTTGATTACTCACTGAACCAAACTGCTGCTATTCAGCAATCTTTTCATGCAGTTCTTGTTTTTGAGCCCTTTGTCATTCACATTTTCTGGTTTTTAGCTACTCAGTTTGTTTTATTAGAAGAACAGCACCCAAAACCTGCCAAGTGCTGCTGACTTCTCCAGAGCACTTAACTGGAGTTGTAGGCAGCTTCCTGTGTTTTCTCTCTGGCTACATTTTGTATCTGAGTGTAATATTTTGTTCTTTAATATCCCTTTCAGAGAAAGGGTAGTTTATATTCCGTTCCTATTAACCTGGCTGCTCTGGCTGCCCCACTCCCTCCTTTAAAGAAGGGTATCAAGCTGGTGCTTTCATGCTCTTCTAAGGCAATATCCAGCTGTCAGGAATCCTCATACTGTTTGTTCTCCCCACAGTTTATTGCCAGTTCTCTGCACTTTCAGGTCAGATTCATCAGGCTTGACTGATGTGAAAACAAATAAATACCTCCCGGTCCTTCATGACCTGAGAGACAAGTCTTTTCCCTTTCAAAAGTTTCACTTTATGTTTTCCACCAGGAGGAAATCCCTGGAGATCAGAATCAACCATGGAAGAGCTTTCTTTGGTTTCTTTTTGTCCTGTCCTGACAAAATTCATATCCAGCAGAGACCTGCTTGGGCACTCTAGGACAGAGTTCACCCTACCTCCCTTATCTTCTCTGTAACCTGAATTCCTGGTGCCCATCTTCTAGCCCAGAGGTGGTTTTGGAGCCCAGCTGATCCTCTGGATACTTCTAGTGGAATCCCATCAGCCCTGCTGTCTTCCTAAGTGATGACAGACTGGATGAACTCTCATCTCACCACCAGCTCTGTGTCACCTTGTCCTCTTTCTAGTGCTCACAGGTCACCCACAGGGATCTTCATAGACTTATTAAGGTTGGAAAACCCCTCTGAGATCATCCCTCAGCACTGCCAAGGCCACCACTGACCCATGTCCCCAAGTGCCACACATGGCTTTTGAATCCCTCCAGGGATGGGGACTCCACCACTGCCCAGGGCAGCTGTGCCAGGGCTGGACGATCCTTTCAGTGAAGAAATTTTCCCTAATATCCAATCTAACTCTCCCCTGGCACAACTTGAGGCAGTTTCCTTGTGCCCTATCACTTGTTCCCTGGGAGCAAATCCTGACCCCCACCTGGTTCCAAACTCCTGTCAGGGAGTTATAGGGAGTCTCCTCCTCCCCTTCCATCACCACCCAGGGATTCTCAGCAGTGGCCACTCTTTGCTGTCATCTGTATCTGAAACAGGAGGTGATGGATCCTCCCTTTCCTCATCCTTCTACCTGTATTCCCCAATCAAATTGCCCCTCCTGGCATTAACATCCATTTCCATGAATTTCATTTCCATTTTTCCTCCAAGGTATGAAGTGTTTGAATGGTCACTTGTGTGAGCCATTTCACATCAGCCAAATTCTGCTCCAATTTTTTTATTTTGGAGAGGTTTAAGTCTTCTAGCTAAGAGTTGAGTGTTATATTTGATCATGCCAATAGGTAGCAGCATTCCACACGTTTGGATCAGCTTTGCTGTTCTATAAAGACATCACTGGAGGTGGAAAATCTGAAGTAATTTCTGTTAAAGGATGCCCTGAGGTTCAGATTCATGTCTTGTTTGGTTTTGAAACTTAATATTCAACTGCATCAGAGCATTTCTAGTTCCAAAGCTCTTACTCCTGCCTTGCAAAGAACCACAACTCAAAACACAAAGGAGATTGTACCTGCTTTAATTATAATTTAATATTTGCTTAACAGGAGGCTTGAGGTCAAGGTCTAAATTGTTTTACACAGATGTAAACACAGTTCTTGCAAATTAATAGTTTAAAACACATTTAAGTCCATGAATATGCACAGGCGCAGTGAAATTAGGCAATGTGTGTAAAGGGAAAGGTTCCATCCAGGGGCAATTGTTGTGTTTCTTAATTACACTCCTGAGTAAAAGCTGGTGTCACAGGAAAGAAAAATATATGGATGAATATATATATGTTTGTTTATGTATTTTCTTCCAAGAGAAATAACAGCTGCTATGGGTGAGTACGGCCGTCTGAGAAAATGGCCTGAAATACTGTTTCCAGGGCGTTTGGAGAGGTTGAAATGTAGCTCCTCTTGAAAAAAATAAAGGGATAAAGATGCCTGGTGGGCATTTCTTTCAGAGATCTCTGGAGATTCCTCCCAAGGGTCTTACTTGAAAAGAAGTGTTTCCCGCCAGCCAGCTCTGCAAAGATCACTCAGGGCTAAGGGAATTTTCCTCCTGGCACATCACTATCGATCCCTGCTCTGTCAGCATCAGCTCCAGAGTCCCCACAGGCTTTGGGGAATTCCTTTGATGCCACTGGCAGGTTGAAGTGTCGGGATCTCAGGGAAAGATCCAGCTGGGATGAACAGAGCCAACAACACAGGGGAATTGAAAGAACAGGTAATTGGAGGAGGGTTGGAAGCTCATCTGAGCCTGATACTCACCTTGACAACCCCATTCCACATGGAGGAGACCCGTGGAAGGAAGGCAGAAGGGACAGAACTGTTTTGCAGCTGACAGGCAGCTCCTGTGCCACCAGCAGTGGGCCAGTGCCACTAAAAGCTCTATACCAGTCTCTGGCTACCTGAGGACACTGGTGTGGGATCCATGGACATGTTATAGTGCCTTTGGAGTTGTTGGGAAGACAGACACTGGCAGGCGGGGCTCAAGTCTGCTAAGACTAGAGCCTGCAAGAGGTGTCTAGACCTGAGTGCACCGCCCCGAGTTCAAATGAGGAGCAAACAGCACCAATCAAAACACATTTTCTTCTCCTTGTGCCCCATTCAAATGCCCCATCAATCACGGGGATGTGAGGATGTCACATCCTCAGGGATGGGACAGGGAGGAGGCAGAGGAGAGGCGGCCAGGAAAAGAGAAGTGGGGGGAAAAAGGAGGAGAAAAATAAGTAAAGAAATAGGATGTGAGTCTTGGCCGTGCAACAAGTCATTTGTGAGGCAAATCAGCCTCTGTTGTGTGATAAATGGCCTGAGGCCAGGCTAAAAATTCTTATTGAGGGAGTCCTGGGAGAGGTGTGATGGAAGCACTAGGGACAAGGACTGCCTGGAGAACTTAAAAGGAAAAGACAGGTTTGATTTAGGATGCTGATTCGAGGGAGCACTCGGATTAGAGGTGAGCTCTGGTATGAGGTTTTGAGAGCCGAGCAGAGGAGCCGCCCATCAAGTGCCAGGCAGGGAGTGAGAGATTAACAACGTCTGACCCACGGAGCAAAGGATGTCAGAACGAGAGCCCTCAGCCAGGAGACGAGAGGTTCAGAGAAAAGCCACTGGGGCAGGCGAGGAGCACAACCAGGCTCCAGGCGAGGGGCTGCTGCTCCTGGAAATGCTGCCAGCAAAGGGCTCGGCAGTGCTGTGCAGTGGCTGGCAGGGAACGCTGGAGGGAGCGTGGGCAAAGGAGGCAGCAGATGGAAATTCAGATAATTTTCTTTCTATTCCATGAGTGCAGTGTGTTTTCATTATTATTGTTGCTCTTGTTGTCGTTATTTCATCAGCCTGGGCTCTGTGGGATCAGAGAGCCACAGAATCATGCAGTGGTTTGTGGTGGAAGGACCTTAAAGACCATCCCGTTCCAACCCCCTGCCATGGGCAGGGACACCTTCCACTATCCCAGATTGCTCCAAGCCCTGTCCAGTCTGGCCTTGAACACTTCCAGGGATGTGAAATCCTGTTGTAAGCAGTTTGTTATCCAAACAGAGAAAGGAGGTAGGAAGGAGATGGAAGAGCAGCAATGGTTTATAGAATTATAGAATTCCAGAATGGTTTGGGTTGGAAGGGACCTTAAAGTTCATCTCATTCCACCCCCTGCCATGGGCAGGGACACCTTCCACTATCCCAGGTTACTCCAAGGCCTGTCCAACCTGGCCTTGATCTCACCTTGATGTAGGTGAGGTGGTAACAAACCCATAAGAAGCATTGTCAGGACACCAAAGGATTTGCATGTTTCTTCAATCTTACCCCAAATCCTGATCGAATATTCAGCTCCATTTAACGGTGCAGGTTCAGGGGTAGGAAGAGGGGGGCTGACGTGTCCACTTTGTAACTCGGGAAAAG